AAGTGACCATTTTCCTACTGCTCACTAACTATAAGAGATGTTCAACACGCTAACACTTTGTGGTTTAAGACCTCTAGTCAAGTCACCTTATGATGATTGCCTCCACCGATCAGAATAATTCATTTCATATAGGAGGATTGGTGCCTAATTATGTTTGGAACATGATAAGTATTGACAACCAGCAAAACGGAGTATTCCAAAAAAAGGATTTTTGAGATTGGTTTGTGTTCGGAACAACTTTAAAGAAAAACAACCGCAAGGCGTCTCATTTTCTATTTCCGGTTTCTTGTGTCGCACGTAACCCTCGCAATATCTCTTATCCTTGATGACTGAGATACGCTTTATACGCATTCGTGAACTGTTCGATCGCATCCTCACTCATACCTTGAGACCTCATGTACGCAGCAGCTTCATCAGAAGAACGCATTCCAGATTTCCAGCTATTAAAGATGGACCTCAGGTGTTCAGGCTCCTTTTTCATTCTCTTGAACTGTGAAGGCAAACGCTCGAAAATGCCGAAATTAAAGTTGTACGTGAAGCCACCGCGTTCTTCGCCAGCTACGTGGTCATCGACAGTACTCATAGCTGATCTTAGCGACCTCGTTTCAGCACCAGCCGCAACGGGCAGAGCGCTGACAGATGAAACGAAGGCGGACGCAATCAACAACAGAATGAAGGTGAGACGCATGGTTGATTCTTGAGCTTGAGCTTGAGTTTGGCAAGTGACTGGAGGGCTTGTAGGTAAATTGGAAACTGTCGACCCCTCTTTCGTGCTGTCAATTATGGTAGGTAGCTGATCCTCGTTCCCAAGCATTTCAAATCTAAAGCACCGGCAGGCGAATGGTGATGGTGACTTAGATTATCGGCGAATATGCTCTGAGCGATGATATCGCCGAGGCTGAGCTGATGAAAATGCTATTTCGATTCCCTAGCTCTATCGATCAGCTTTCATCACCGATATGGCGGAATATGTATCATTGAACATCACAACATTGTCGGAATTTAGCATAGTAGTACATGCGAGAGCACATGTACCACACACCGTTTCCAACCAAAAATAAAACACTGTACGGAGATGGTGGCGGAAAAAAAACTGCAGTGAGTTACGGGTGCGCCTTTACTTTTACTGTATCAGTGTGACACTATACGGATTAACCTCTCTTTTTCATATAAAGCTCGTGGATCAAATATACGAAGTCGATCATGGAAAGGCGGCTGGTGTGGTTCACATCCTGAAATTTAGTGGGATTCGAAAGAAATGTTTCAAAGCTAAAAATTTATGGAAGTATCTGACGATACACCAGACCTTCCAAGGTCTCTGTTGTGACCCTTTCAGAAACTGATTTCCGATGAAATCGGCTTAGAATGGGTGAGCACGTGGTTTCATGTCGATACTTACCACGGATTCCTGCTACCGGAAGGTGAAACCTTTGATTTTGACCACATTAGACTTTTGTTTTCTATCAGCACATTGTATCAAGACATTATTATCAAGGGACTTTACAAAAAGCAAGTCTACCAGATCGGTGAACTGACATCGTATCGAGTACCACAGGATACCACGATATACGATCTCATCTTAAACAGCTTCATCAATATTCGGGTTTCTTTTTTATTTTACTCAGATGTATACTCTTTACGATTTTCGACGATTTGAAGCCACCTGAATGATACGAAGATATGCTCGATTGGAGGGATCAGAGTCTGACTATTGAATCCATCCAAGACTCTGCAAAAGAGAGTGTGTGCGAAAAACTTGCGCGTCCCCCAAGCGTCACGCGCAAGTTGATCCAATAATTTAAGTATATGGTTAATATAAAAATTTAAGTACGTTCGCTGTTGAACGCATACACCAGTATAAGCTCTGTGATGGTGTTAAAAGAGAAAATTCTATGTTATGTTTATTATCCGTCATAGAGATAGCAAGAACTCACAACGTTTCGCCGGCGTTCTCGATAGGCTTTGCTGCAATTTTCGCAAAAGTAATAGAATTTTCTCACAAATAATAGCGAAATAGTCTAATAGATTTATTTTGCTGTTGCGGTATATTCAGCTGGCAAGGTTAGCGGAAATTTGTATACCGTAAAATCAAACTTGAACTCGTCGATCAAGGAGGATAGTACATGTCGTACTTTCAACGTTTCTGTACATAATCTGTTGGGGAAAGCAAACCGGCTAGAATAAGCGCAGACAGTGCGTTGATGCGCCCAACATAGAAGTCAAGGGCATCATCATAGCGTTATACCACCGAAGGGAAATCGTTGCTCGTCGTGCCCTGAAAATTTCGGCGTCGGATGCTACACGTACAGTAGGCATTGTCCGCAGCGGACTCCCGATGCTTATCTACGGGTAAAATCGGCCTAAACAATGTCCACAGTGGGGATAACTGCACGTTTTGCCTGATGTGAAGACGATTATACCGGGATTACTGTCTCCTTTTGAGAGAGAGACACTGTCTAATTGATAATACTGTCTTTTCCGCAAAGTCTCCTTACAGCTAAATGGGGGGATTAAATGGCAGTATCTAGAAGTCGTCTCCATTTAATTGAAGCTGTAGTTTCGTACTCGCTGGTATTTCCCTTTTTAATTTGCTGGAAGACAATCCAAGGTCAACAAAGTGACCAATAGAAAGGTAATTGTTTGAAGAG